ATGTCGCGCTTAATGATCATTAGACTCATGCGATTTGAGCGATCCCACTTCTCATAATCTCTTTTCTGTTCAGAGGTACTTGAATCCGTAGGAGTAGGGGGTTGTTCAGTCCTTAACGCAAGATCCATATCCATGCAACCAAGAATAATATCAATGTTCTCTTTCCAGTCCTTAAAATTTGTTCCATTGAGGACCGGAACATAATTTAAATTGGAAGATACAGAAGCAATTGTAGCTGAATTTAGAACACAAGAAATAAACTAATTATGCTCACATTATATAAAAAATAAATAATATATATTCAAATAGTGGTTTAACCCATCTCAAGACACCCAATGCACCATCAATATCAAGTCTTTGGACAGTAATATTAAATGCTAGAGATATCTTGTTGTAATAATCAAACATTGACAATAAAGCATGTCCAACAACAAACCAGTCTTTGGATTGATTTATCATCGACAAAGCAAATCCTTATAATTATCACATGTTTATCATTACAAGTGTGTATGCAATTCGGCCAAATATTAATCTTCCTTTGGGTCGACTAATACTCGCATGAATATACACAAACACTAACATTCAATATTTTTTATGAACTGTCCAATTCAAGAGAGGTTACTTTGGTGACTTCTTGACTCAATTTGCTCACAAAAAATATTAAATTACCAAAAAATTAAATATTTTATTTATATAACAAAACCAAATATTTAATATTTGCAAACTGATTCAAAAGAGAATCACCTCATTAGAATTCTACTAAGGATGAACACCTCCCTAGAATCTCATTAGGGATTAACACCTCATTTGAACAAATCAAAGGATGAAAAAAGACCTCATTTTCCACCAATACATAAAGGATGAACATCTCCCTAAAATCACACTAGGGATGAAACAGAGATAGTTCTGAGTCTCTTTAGCATACTGCTCTAAACCCTAAAAGGGGATTAAACAGTAATCATTCAAACCCTAAACAGGGAAATTTAACATCAAATTTTCCTAAAGACAATAAAATAAGAACAGTCACACCTGTGGAAACATTCACCATTTACCTAAGATTTTTTGTGTTGGGAATACCCCAAACACCACCCGCAATTCCAAACTCATCCATATCCACCATGAAAAGAAAACGAAAACAAAAACTCATAAAATTAAATAAAAACAAAAACAAAAACAAAAGATTCAAAGAGAACAGAAAACTCAATACTAGAAAGATTGAAATTTGAAACACTATTTCTTTCTCGGTAAAACTTGAAACTTAAACTGAAACAAAAGGGAAAAACTAAGAAGAAGAAGAATCCATAACTTCCTCCACAGTTCCATCAGCAAGCAGAATCAGATTGGGGATGTTACCCCCAAATTTAAATTTTAGGGTTTACGAAAATTAGAGATTATTCTCCACTTAGGGTTCATAAAATTAGGTAATTTGAATTGTTTAAAACAAAATTAATCCTAATTTTCATAATTAGGGTTCTATAAATTAAACAGACATGAATCAAATATGGGCGGCTCTAATACCAATTGTTGGAAAAATAATAATAATAATAATATTCCTGATTTTGATTCTAACGATCAAATATAAACGTAATCTCATACTGATAAACATGCTGTAAAGTGAATGCGAAAGTGTACCTGAATTAGCCATAATGATGATGTCTTTGTAGAGCACTATATTGATCTTGGGACCATGACCCCTTAAAATAACCAGAATTAGGTTAATTACTTAAGTTTTAGTATTTCTAATTTGACCCCTCATCAAATTAGAAATTACTCTATGGTCTCTACACAATTTTATTTTCATGACATATGTCTTTAGCCAAACTTTTAATTTAGTCAGATCACTTTATTATTTGACTTAATAAATAATGACCCTAACACATTTAAATTATGTATCATATATATACATGACCCAAAATTTGCCAACAGGATGAACAATAAGGAGAATATGAGAGAGAGGAGTTTTTGTCCGAGTAAGAAGAATGTTTCCTATAATCGAGTGAGGTTGAGACTTTTTTAATTCTTTTTTTACAAATTTTAATTTTATATATTATCATTAACTATATTAGAAGAAAAAATTATTTTTTATTAATTAGGTGAGTCGCGAATTGATCGGTGGACTAAAAACACTAACCTACCTTATCATATATCATATTATAGTAAATTGATCGAATCAGTCAGTTGGACTGACTCTATTTTGTCATCTAATTTTATATATTAATTTTGATAATATTAGATAAAAACCTACTTATAAATATCTTATTAGAATGATTATATATCAATAATTTTAATTTAAAAATAATACTATCATGACCAAATTATAATTTTTAATAATGGTTATTTGAATAACGTAATTAAAATTGAAAAAAAAAAAGAGAGAATGAATCCATATTAAAATTCCAAACCTTTTATTTTATAGTAAAAGGAATCGAAAGTGTTGAAGTCACGTGTCAAACTTACACCACATGCTTCCGTTTATTGCGTGTGATTCGTTAAAAAGTAGTCCAAATAGGGTAATGGGCCACCATCGTTGACTTATCACAGCCCAATAATGCCTCCATCATTCCATCAACACCGTTTTCAATTTACACCATTCATTTTCATTCCATCAACTATAATTTTTTTTTTTTATTACTTTTTCTATTATTATTATTATTGAACATGATTTTGAATCATGAAAACCAAAACCTTTTCCTTGTTGGATTTTATTTAAAAAAAAAGAAAAAAGAGTGTGGTCATTTGACTTTAGCCACACACACACACAATACACAACTCAAATGATTTTCCATAATTCTTCATATTTATAATTGTCTTTGTTTTCTTCTTATTATTAGGTTTTTCAATTTTGAGCATTCAAGCTTGGAGGGTTCAAAAACACATGCAAACCAACGAAGCAAAGACAGGTTCATTTCATGACAGGTTTGTCTTCTTCTCAACTTTGTTTTCTTGCTTTGCAGTGACCATCAAATCAAAACCATGGATGAACCAAGAGATTCCTAGTTATCTCCTACCACCTCATCTTTTACACACTTCGTTTAGGAAATTTACAATTATAGTGATAGATTTTGTATCATTATTTTCTTTTACAAAAATGGTTGTTATTAAATCAGTAAAAGTTAGTCCTTTGATCAATTAGTAAAAGTAAGGCGTAATAGAAAGGGTATGATTTTTTGAACACTGAAAATGACTAAAATCAGAGACATTTATTAGGGCATGAGGATTGCAGGGAAATTTCAGCTTTTGTCAATGTTTTTGAAGACAAGGTGGTTGGGGGATTTTCTGTAATTGACTTAACAAGTAATTATATTAAATTTTTAACGTTTCACGTTAGTGTTTCCCATTAGGTCTCAATAAGTATTTGTTTATATAGGTAAAATAGAAATGGGTTTGGTTGAATAAAAATGAAAAGTGAAAAGAAATTGTTGGATGATTTTTTTTATTTTTTTTTTTGTAAAGTTCAAATTATTTTTGTATAATTTTTTTTTATATATTTAAACATTTTATGGTGAAGATTGGTATAGGAAAATATGATCCAAATATGTCTCACAGCAAATCAGTGTTATTATTCCACCAAGGCCTACAATAAAAACCCCAAAACAAACAAGGCTAACACTTGGTAATCTGGTTATGAAAATTATTATTGGAGACGAAAAAAGAAAATTTGGCTTATTAAGTAATTCTCCTGATTAAACAAGTTAGTTAATTTAATTGACAACATAAAATATATCTTAATTAAACACTAACAAACATTCACAAGTAATATATTTCACCGATAATTCTTAGTTATTAATATCTATTCAAAATTTTTAAAAATATATATTATTTAATCCTTTTTATTTAATATATTTTTAAAATATACTATTAAATCCCCGACAATTATTATTATTAAAACCACATTAAAAAAAAACGTGGAAATCCACGTAATGTGTTTTGTTGCACCGATTTTTTGCTTTACTGAGAAAATGGACTAGAATCTAATGAAAGGAACAATAATAGATACGTAACATTTAAGGTTCTTATATATTGCACATCATACTTCTTTTTTTGACAACCAAAAAGTTCTTTACCAAGTTCACAGAATGATTCCAATATTTCCACTTTACGCTTTCTTTTTTTTAATTTTTTTTAAGATAGATCGGAGGAGAGTTTCTTTAACAATATAAACGAAACAATTTATTAATTTAAGAAAATGAATCATCTGATAAAAAAGAAAGCATAGCTGAATAAATTTTCTGTTGAAGCTAAATCAACATAGATGCTTTGCTTTGGATCCATTCAGCTGGTGTTGCAAGCAACGATTCCACCAGATTTAAAGTACCAAAAGGATATAAATATAATTAATTTACAATCTTGCACAGTTCATCAATTCTCTAGTGCATTTAATCAGTGCAAGATGACCATATTTTGCAAGATACTTCAACTAGACAATTACCGTCCAATCTCTTTAATACAATTTTTTCTACCCAATACAATAATACTAATACCACTTGATATAAGTGTAATTTGATTCCTATCCTTGAACTGAAGAAACAGATAAATACATACATGATGGACACATGAAACTTTTGAAGTAAAATATGACATGCAGGAGGGTACACTCACAGTCATTCAAAATTCCCATTTTCGGAAAAGTACATGAATCAGAGTATGTATAACCCCAAGAAAGAATGAAATTAAAATTACTTAATCAGTAAATTAACAATTATCTCTTGGTCTCATCATCCATGAAGTCTATCTATTCTCCCGTGTAGTATATATAAAAAAGCCTTCCCTAAAGACCCTTCTTCATGTTGGCCAATGCTAACCTCTCCAAGTATACAAGGGAAAAGAAAACTAAGGAAATAAAACACAGCCACCTCTCTTCTAAGAACTGGAAGAAAGGAGAATTAGAAAGATCAAAAGAATGGCAGTGGTAGTATCTCCTGGCAGTAAGCAATAACAAGAGCAGCAGTTCCTTCACTTCCTTCTGAGCATTCTTTGCTTTAATATTATACCCACAAATTCTATTCATCATCTGATTCCAGAGTTGGGGTCTTAGAGCAGATCTCCTTTTGATGGAGTTCCAACATTTTCTTTTCTGGATTACAGAGGCCTGTAGGTGAACAACAGATCATTAGGATAAAATATTCTATTTTGGGAGTATATAAATGTATGTCACACACTTATAACAAAAATTTAAATGCTGACTACAAACATATAAAAGATCCTCTAAAACGATTTAATCATATAAAGGAGCCTCACCAAAAACAGATTCCCAATTTACAGATTAATTAATGCCTCAAATACGGGTAAGATCATCCTTAAATATTTTGTAAGAGCATATTTGATTAATTTTTTATGCTACAAATTTCAGCAGCCCATCCTTTTAAAATGTCTTTTTAACGAAAACTGCCCTTTGAAGAGATGATTTTAGAGGGAAAATGGAGGGAAGAAAAAATTTCATTTTAATTAAACATGCCTTATTTGACAAAATATTAAAATGAAGGAAATAAAATGGCAGATTATGATGTAGCCTCCAATGATCCTTTAACATCCCTTAATTCATTTTATAAACATTCTCTTAATTTAGATATTAAAAATAATCCTTCCCTGTTCCCACCCAAACTACTACATCAATAGTTGGACAGGAAAGACACAAAGCCACATTGAATAGCTCGAAGCAATTTTCACCATGAAGAGGTAGACCATAATACCATTTTTCTTCTTTGGGGGGATCCCAAGTCATGAAGTTCATGTACTTTTAAGGTTTTCCAAGAAAATTCTGTCTAAAGCCCCAAATACTGATGCTGTAACATCATGGTGCAAAGAGAAACACCAACCTGAGCACTTTGGAATATCCCAGACAGCAATAGATGTGGCTGTACAGTCTGTAGCACAAAGTTCATGATTATTCTCATGGTTGACATTCATAGCTAGCATCCAAGCTCCAATAGTAACATCCTCATTGCTGAACATCCGGAAACTGTGAAACAATGCAAAAGCATTATATTGAAGTGGGAAAGAAGGTAGGTATTGAAAAAGATCCATATCATCATGTTTATCTATTGAAAACCTCCAGCACTTTACATTGAGGAAATTTATGACCTCGACCTTCAAAGTATGATACTGTTTAGATAACAAAAAGAGCATAGCTCCCAATCCATTTGCACCGGTGAGACAACTAACAAGACTAGGCAATATCTCAACTTCGTTTTTTTTTTTTTTTTTTATTGAGATAAGAAACAGAAATTATCCAACCAACAAGCACACAAATCTGTAATGGTATTGTGTTTTCCTTATGCATTGCATACTTGCTTACTAATGGATCAGCCCAAAAAGCGATGTTCTATATCTAAACATCAACGAGTGTATCAAAGTATTTCCTACAGTTCCCAATAGATTACATGATAGATTTGTGATCCTACTGTCAACTGAAGGACATGTGACCATGCAAGTTCTGGAGGAAAGAAAAACTTGCCTGTCATTCCTAAGAGCAACCAAGCTTGAGACAACATCAGCAGAAAGAACATATATAGGACCATAAGCGTGAAGAAAATACTCCTTTCCAAGCAAATTTGACAATGGCTCATACCTAAAAGATTTAATTGGGATAAGTAACATGAGAAGAAGTAGATAAAATGTTGGTTATAAGTTGAGGCCTATAATGTATCAATAACGGTGAAGCTAGATAGCACAACATTAGCATTTTCAACTCAAAAAGATGAGGGTGATTATTAGTGATAATTTGGACAACAAAATTGGCAAAAGTGTCAAATTAAAAGGTGTGAAATTGTTTCAATCTTGTCCTTTATGATAATACCTTGGGCATCAAGTTTATATCCAACAACCAAGCCTTATTCCATTCCGTGGGATTAAATACAAACAAGTTCATTCCACAACAGACTCTATCATAAACCATAAAAGGGCGATTCATTGAGCAAATATTTTATTTTAATTGAGTATTAAGTATATTATATATAGTTTGAAGAAAGAAGAGAGTCTTTATCTTTATGTGGATATTACAGTAATACTTAAGAAGTTTTATCTGTTTTTAGTTATTAAATGATAATAGACTATGAAAACAAATAATAGTTGAATTCCACAATGATTTTAATAAAATCCCATTATTTAAACAAGTTTATTTATTTTGATTGGACAACAGTAAACCAACATACTTCAAGTTTTGAATAAAAGTATATGCAGTTCGTCTTGTAAAGAACCTATAACCTCGTTCTCAAAATCCCGATCCTCAACAAAAGGAAAGCATGAGAAAAGAACAACTACAAACAAATTTGTTAAAAGTCTGGGAGCCGTTTAATTACGGTGAGCTTTCAGTAGTGCTTCAGTTCCTTTTGTTTATCAATTTAAATATATCTACCTTTTCAATTTCATTAGCCGTGGTGAAAACACAAAAGTAAAAATAACAAATTGCTGAATTGTGCGGTTTGTATCTACGATGTGAAAGTGCATTGGTTTATCCATGTATCAAACAGTTCAAAGTCATTTGCGATTCATTACTTGAAAACATGTTGCCAGCCAACCAAATTGCTAACTGTAAGATAATAATAAGTATGACTAAAACTAAAATCTGCTTGCAAACTTGTTATCTTAGTTGTTCATTTGCAAATCTAACAACTAAATAGTATTAATAATTTACATTTCTTTCTCAGGCATATAGCGTCATCAAGTAAAGACATCAAGTTTTATATATTACTCTTATTCCAGCATTGGAGCAATTTATTGATGGCATTTTTTTTTTCCTGAGTAAAATTGTGGCATGCTGAAAGTGTGGAATTGGGAAAATTAATGTATACAGAATCAAACTAACATCTCGGAGATAAACTAAACTCATCATAACAAAACTAACCATTTGAGTTTTGGATCAGTGAAAACAGGTCCTTTTTTCATGCATCCTATGTATGTCTGAGGATGAGATCGCTCTTTGGCCAGTAGTAATGATAGACGATCTGACAATATTTTAAAAGTATGCGCATAAATCTTAATTAAAATTTTAAAATGTCATCACATAAAGGAAGTACTTCAAATATTTATCACAATAAGCATTAAAAGATCAAGTCACCTGGCCTTAAATATATGTCATCATCAGCTTTGACATAAAATTCAGCATCAAAAAAAGCATAAGCAGCTTTGAAGAAAGCTAACCTGTGATGAATGAATATTCAATTTAGCAACACACTACAGATAATATGCAGAAATTTAGTCATTCTCAGCACACACGTTTTGTATGGGAGCTTACTGTACTCCTCTTGGATATCCAACAAAATGAAATCATCATATTCTGCTACTTCCTTCTGAAGTGCAGACATCTTTGCTCTGTCACTTGTTCTACCAATGATAAACCTAAAAGCCAACCCAGTGGCTTCTTCCAAGCTGCAAGCAACAGTTAATAATTAAAAATGACAGTGCCAACTTCAAACACTGCAATCTACCTTAGATATTGAGCCGAATCTAAACCAAGCCAGATAAACACACAGACGAGAACCTAGAATGACTCGAAATCAAATTGTCATTAAGCTGTATTCAACTCATACCAAAGAAGTGGAACGTTAAGAAACAGTTCTACAAATAAGCTTTGCAAATCAGTAATGAATAAAATACAGATAATCTTCACGTCCATCAATTTTCCCTTCCTTTTCACCCGCTCCATTATTATACATTAATATCAATGTTGTAAAATCAAAATATAAATGATGAGTTTCACTCCAAAAAGGTTCATAGTTCAAGTACATTTCCCAACCTATAGCTGTGTACAGATAATTAAAACAAGACTTAAATACATTAAAAATCCCTAAAAACATGACCTTTTTAGGTTTACTCCCCGTAAAAATTATTAATTTTTAATCCCTAAAATTTACAAAAATCACATTCCTCTAGTCCTTGCTGAAGGACCAAAACCACATCAATTTTGTTAAATGTAAAACTAAAATTGAATAAAAAATTATATGAACTAAAACAAGAAATATATCCTACATCGTTAAAAACACAAAAAAATACATATTCAGGATTTGTTTGATTTAGTTTTATTTTTACTTTTAGCAAACAGTTTTATAGAATTAATTTTAAAAAACTATTTTTGAAAATAAGTTAACAAAATTGTTTGATAACTCTAGTTTGAAAACTCTTTTAGACTAAAGAGGATGACATGCACAAGGATGAAAAATTACGACGAAAATCAAAAAACAATTTTAATAATTTTAGAGATGAAGGCAGGCCATGTAGTCCAATTATTGGTGAATATATGAATATCATTAATGAATACAAAAAACTAAAAACAGAAAATACCTTCTATTAATTTTGGTTTTTTAGTTTTTTGAAAACTAAAAATTGAAAAAAGTTTTTGAAACTGTTTTAAAAAAATACTTACCAAACAATTTTAGTTTTTAAAAATTAAAAAACCGCTTTTAAACACAGTAAACAAACAAGCTCTTACAATAACATTTTTTTAAAGAATTTTAGACTTCTACATTTAAGAAGAAAAAAATTGTAACTGTTTGAAGTTTTTAACAACAATGTGTTGTTTGATGGTCGTCCATAAGAACGCAAACATGTCACCCCACTACTAGTCCAAATACAAATGTGTGATATTATTCTTCACATTTCTGACCTCTTGACATTTGAGGCCACTAAACAATTTCCCTAAAGAAAATTAGTAAAATTACCGCAAAAACTGCTGTTCTCTCACGTCAAAACTAAAGAAAAACAAAGCAAACCACAGGAAAAACCATTCACTTTTCTCAAAACCCTATGGCTAATATTAAAAGACTTAAAATGAAATTTTTAGTCCCCCTTATCTTAATTTTTATAATTTTGGTCCCCCTTATTTTTATTTGTATAATTTTGGTCCCCTTATTTTTATTTGTATAATTTTGGTCCCCATACTTCCAATTGAGTGATTTTGTAACAAATTTGCTATCATTAACCACCTGGTATTTAATTAACAGACTGATATAAGCAAAAAATCTTTCTTTTCTCCATAAAACTATTGAAACCATGGGTGAATACAATGTGCACAAGGGAGGTGATAAAACACATAATCTCTAAAGATACACCAAGTTTTGTCTCCACACCATCAGCAACTAGCACATCAAGTTGTTAATTAGGCAAGAGATAGTAATCCCTCTATCCCAAAATCATAGTCTTTTCATACGTTAAGAAAAACAATAAATATGCTACTTATTAAATCAATTTTATTATAAACGTCTCTCTTCTCAATAAATACATTACTTTTACTAGCTGCAAATGCAATACCTTCTCTTCAATATTCGGGAGCAAATTAAGAATACAGAAAGAAAATTAATAACACCAGTTCGTTTGAAATCTTTTTATAGACTAAAACTACAGTCATTCCTGAGTTTGATACTTATGTCCCAGCCGAGCAAATTTAATATTAGGCAAGACCTTAAGACACTGGTGAATCATGTCCAACGACAAAAAAAAAATAAAACTATATTCATCATGGGAAAGAGGAACAAGATGTTATTGTTAGCTAAATTCGTCACTGTTTAGATGTGAGACTAATGGAGGCACCCAAATTTAACCTATGAAATGATTGTAACACTGGCAACGTTCAATTAAACATAATGTAACCAAATTTGCATAAAAGCAAAAGTAAGAGCACCAAAACTAGCAAAACTACCACAACAACAACAACAACAAAAAAGCCTTATCTCATTAGCTGAGGTCTCTACATGGATTACAGGATTCTATTTGGCACAGTTAAAAAGCAAAGCATGAGGACAAAATCTGCATTTAGGCTAAAAAAACACAATTCGAGAGGACTCAAAAGAGATAAAGCGAATACCGATGAAGGCCTTGGCGATCAGAGGGAAACCACGTCTTTCTCAACGCCTCTCTCCTCCCACCGGATCCAAACCCCGTTTGAATGCCCACAAACCCCATAACCTTATGCCTCTCTGCATCACCGACACCAACAGCTGTGTTGGGGTTGCCGGCGTGTTCCCAGACGACGCGCACCGATCGAGGGTGCGCGTTGACGCAGCGGTTGTTACGAATCTGGGCGAGGAAGGAAGAGATGGCGAAGAAGAAGAGGAGGAGGAGGAGGGCGGAGAGGCCGAGGAGGAAGGCGGTGGATCTGCGCGTGGCAAAGGGCGATTGGTAGCGCACGTAGGGGAGGGCGTAGGACTTTGGGGAAGAAGGCATGGCTCAGGGAATGGCGAAGGTGGAAGAGGGTACGTTCATGGCACACAAAAATGAATGAAGGTTGAACGCAGTAGGAGTAGACTAGAGACTATGGAGACTCACGATAACGCAACGGTGAGTGAAAATCACTAAACCGAAAACTACCAGTGAAATTTTAATTTTTAATTTCTTTAAATTGTATTTTTCTAGAAAAATTTTAATAAATAAAAACTGTAGTTTAAATTAAAATTTCATCTCTACATTTATTCTAATTATAAAGTTCAATTTTATCCTGGTTCTAAATTATAATCACATCTAGCATTATTTTAATATAAAATTTCATATATATCATACTGTAATTATTATTTACAGGAGTAGCACAATTTTTCAAAAAGTTAAATATTTTAAATAAAAAATAATAATTATTAGAAATTTTATGTTTTAAATCCATTAAAAATATATATATATATATATATGTTATTTATATAATTATCTTATTAATATATTTTTATAAATATAATAAATACAAATATATTTAATATATATATATATATAATATTTAAATATTTATTTATGTAATTATATATTTAATATATTTTTATAAATATAGTAAATACAAATATATTTAATATATATATATATATAATATTTAAATTTTATTTAATATAAATTAGTTGAAGAAAAAAATTGATTAAAATAATAATTTATAGGAATAATAAATTAAAAATAAATTTATATAAGATATTGTATGAATAACATTTATTTAATAATAATTTTGATGTAAAAAATTACAAAAATACAAATAAATTACAATATTATAGATTTAATATTTAAATAAATTTAATAAATATGAATTTATATATATATATATATATATATATATTCAAAAATGCAGCTCTCAAAGACTGAGCCAAGAGCAAACTATTACTACAACATCATAAGACAAGCCAATCCAGAAGCAGCAAACTGGATTGACGAAATTCCAAGAAATAAATGGGCACTTGCATATGATGATGGTAGAAAATGTCATCTAACAACCAATTTAGCTGAATCCATCAATTCAGTCCTAAAGAAAACAAAGAATTTACCAATCTCCTCTATGGTCATGGCCACATACACAAGATGCAACAAATTTTAAACAAAAAGAGGGAGACAAATCACAGCAATGATTAATGTTGGTCATGTCCATTCAGAAGTTGCATCAAAGGTCTTACAAGATGCTTATACAAAATCAAACACTCATAGGGTGCTTGAATTCGATAGAAGCAGCACAAGATTCTTGGTGGAGGAGATCGTCAACCCAAGAGAAGTTCGATCGGCTGGTAATTTTGTTCTTAGACTACATGAAACTTGGTGTGATTGTGGGAAGTTCCAAAAACTTCATCTACCATGTTCTCATGTGGTTGCAGCATGCAAACATGCTCACCATGATTATGAGATGTACATCAATCCTGTTTACAGGTTGGATGTAGTCAACAAAGTGTATGACAAATTGTTTGGGAGCTTAGACACGAAGATTATTGGTCATTATATCAAGGCCCACAACTTTGCCCCAACCCAGCAACAAGAAAAAGTTCTAAGGGTCGTCCAAAATCAACACGAATTAGGACCGAAATGGATATCTGCGAAGTAGGTCACCCAAAGAAATGTTTCTATTGTCACACATGAAATCATTATCCACATAACCCCGGCCTCAGGGATCAACTTCTCATAGATAAATCTATTGTAGTTTTGTAATATGACATTATAATCATTAATAAATAATTATTATACTCATTTGTGATTTTGTAACTTGGTTATTCATGTTTTGTTGTTTATTCATATTTCATTGATTTAATATCTAAAATATCAATTCACTCTAATTCAAATAGTATATCTTACACATATTTCTAATTAAAATTTTTATTTATACCGAATTTTAACAAAATATTTATACCAAACAAATTAAAATATAATAAAAATATTTATATATTTTTATAAAAGAAATATTATTTATACTTAATTAATATATATATATATATAATTTATTTATGTTATTATGTATATATAAAGATATAAATATATATTTATTAAATATATAAATATACATGTATTTATTATATTTATAAAATGATAAATAAATATTTAAATATATATATATATATATTAAATATATTTATATTTATTATATTTATAAAAATATATTAATAATATAATTACATAAATATATTTGTATGATATGTAAAAAAATATTTTTCTCAGTATTTTTATATAGACGCGTATCACAAGCAGTTAAGAGAACTGAAAATTCTCAATATTTTAATTGAAATATTTGACTTTTCAAAATCTGTGCTGCTCGTGTAAATAATAAGTACAGTATATTATGTATGAAATTTTATGTTAAAACAATGCTACACGCGAAAAAAAATCTCACATCAACTTAATTTAAAACGAAAATGATTACATTTTTTTTGAGAATTTTATGATTGAGAGAAGTTTTCCGTTAATTTTGTTTAAAGAAATTAGAGTTAAAAAACTTTTCTTTTTTTTCGTAAATAGAATCTTAAATTAAATATCTTGGCTAATCTTTTTTTTTCACTCTCATTCCAACATTAAATATTATACCAAACATTAAAAAAATTAACACTTAATCATTATTTGTGTGATAAAGATGAGTTTATAAAGTAGATTTAAAAAAAAAAAAAACAAGTTGGCTTTTTATGTTATATACAAATATTCTTTTGGAGCAAGGATTAGATTTTAAAATATTAAAATTACATTAATGTAAATCTCATCCAAATAAAACCTTTTCTAATAATAATTATTATTACCATATATGTATAATTTAATAATGAAAATAATATTACTTTCTCATATATATAACTCTTAGAGAAAATAAACCGCTAATAAGTATTTATGTACTGTAGTTAAATTGAATTAACGAGTGAGAAAAGTTATCCATATAAGATAAAAAAATACTACTTTTAAAAGTTAAAATTAATTTATTTATAAAATAATATGCAGATTTTTTTATGTTACTTGTTTAAATTACTATTTTAAATTGTATATTAACTAATTGTAATTTTAAAAAAATATTTTCCTTTATATTATTTATTATTAAAAGGAAACATTTTTATTAGGGTTAAAAATATTCATATAGTTACAATTTATAAATTACATTCAAATTCAACTACTATCCATTTGTATTAATTCTAATAGCCACATGTAACTTTTAATAGTTATTTATCTATAGTCATTTTTAACAATTCACTCAAGTTAGAGCATACAAATTGTATGTTTTAAGTTTGGAACAACAAAATTCAATCGGGATCCCTTAAGGATTTAGTTAGCACATCTGCAAGTTGATAATTAGAAGCACATATTCTTTATATATCTCTTTTGACAATAACTTCTCCCGAATAAAATAATAGTCAATTTCTATATGTTTAGTTCTCTCATGAAATACTGGATTAGATGTCATATAGAGAGCAATTTGGTTATCACAATACATCTTCATGGTTTGAATATTACCAAATTTGAATTCTTGAAGGAATTGTTTCATCAATATAAGTTCACAAGTAAGATAAGTCATTGTGCTGGATTCAGCTTATGCAGTGGATCGAGCTATTGCATTATGTTTCTTACTTTTCCAATAAATAATATTTCCTCCAAGAAAAACACAATATATTGTAGTATAATGCTTGTTAGTGGGAGATCCTGCCCAATCAGCATCACAATATCCAGAGATTTTTTAATCTATTTTATCTTCGTATAACAGACCTTGTCCTGGGGTCTTTTTGAGGTACCTTAGAATTCGAATAATAGATGTTTAGTACAAGGACCTTGCATAAATTGAATTACAACACTCACTGCAAAAAATATATCAGGTCTAGTGATAGTCAGATAAATAAGTTTTCTAACCAGTCTTCTATACCTTTCTGGATCAAAGAACAATTCACTCTATTCTGTCATTAGCTTTTGATTTATGTGTACTGGTTTATAGTTAATCATGTTTGTCTCCTTATACTTTCTTTAAGAGATAACAACTCCTTCTTTTGACTGAGCTACTTCAAACTCCTTCATTTTAGTAACTGGTAAAAAAGTATCAATGTAGTCAAGGTCATAAATTTGTGTGTACCCTTTTGCAATTAATCGTGCCTTGAGACGATCAATTTCATCATTAAAACCAACTTTAATGGCATAAACTTATTGATATCTAACTGTCTTCTTCCCAGGTGAAAGAGACACTAACTCCCATGTGTGATTCTGGTAAAGAGTTTGCATCTTAGCAATCATAGTTTGTCATTATTCAGGATGATTAAGTGCTTCAGTCACATTTTTTGGAATAGAAATAGAAGATACCGAAGTTAGAAAAGAACAATAGGAAGGAGACACCCTATGATAATTCAAAAAATTATAAATAGGATGAGGGTTACGTATAAAACAAGTACTTTTTTTAATGACAATGGGTCAGGCTGAATCATCAACATCAAGAGTTATGATATGGATTACTGATTGAAAAGAACTTGAAGAAGATGAATGATCTTGGAGCATGGAGCTTGGTGTGAGAGGTGATGATGATTCAGGATTAGTTGGACCAGGATTTGGACTGTCAGACGCACTAGGAACAATGTGCTCAATTGTAGGTATAGGTAAGACCTCTTAGATGGAAGGGATATGGAACAAATGAAGAAAAGTAAAGAGTCTATTTATAGAATGTGACACTGACAGACATGTAATACTTCTTGGTTTCATAAAAATAACACTAATATCATTTTTGAAGCCTAGAATAGCCCAAGAATATACTTTTAACAGCACGAGCATATAGTTTATCTAATTTGGGAGGCATGTCATAAACAAAATAAACACAACCAAACACTCGAGGAGAAACATGAAAGAAAAGGTCATTTAGGAAGAGAATGAAATATGATATTTTATTGCTAAGAGAGGAGAATGACATTCTATTAACAAGAAAACAAGAGTTAAGATAACATTTCCCCAATAATGGATAGGTAAGTGAGCATCAATCAATAAGGTACAAGTAGAGTGTCTATTTTTTCTTTCGGCAATACCATTTTACTTAGGAGTGTGGGGACAAGTAGATTGATGTAAAATTTTATGTGAACTTAAAATATGTAGAGAAATTATAAGAGAAGTACTTTTTAACATTGTCACTTTTGAGAATTTTAATTACTTTACCAAATTGATTTTTAACTTCATTAAAAAAGGAGGTAAAGATGGATAATAATTCAGAATGATCTTTCATCAAATACACCTGAAATATTCATCAATAAATGTGCAAAATACTTAAACCCAAATATGAGACATGATTTGGACCCCAACTATCTAAATGGATAATAGAAAAAATAGAATTACATCTTGATTTAGATTTTTTTGAAAAAAAAAAAGCTCTACCATATTTTTCTAGTTGGCATGAATCACATCTAAAGTCTGAATACTACTAATTTTAGGGACTGGTTTTGATAAGTGGGGATGACCCAACCGATTATATAACAATTTTGGGGATGCAAAACAGGACACATCTAACTTGGCTCCAAAATAATATAAACCTCTATATGCATGTTCTTCTCCAATTTGACTGATGTCCTGTACCACATTTCTGAGCAATGATTCATAAATTTTGACTTTATACAGATTGTGAGATGCACATCGTCGATGAACTGAGAGTTGTAAATGATTGTGTCAAGCTGTTGTATTTCAACTTTAGATACTCTTCATATTCTTCATTAGAAAATTTTGGTTCAGCATCATCAGTTTTAAAGACATGGGCAGACTTGTGAGGAAAATAATGCAAAGCAAAACAATTTTATTGAACATGACCCATCCTTTTACAACATGACAAAAGAGTCCATATGTTCATGAACATTTTTACTTTGATAAGTAGAAACACGAAAAAGATTAGTGATCAAACTTTCTATAGATGAGACTTCATGCCCTGTTAGCGATTGATCTCTAACATGTTTGAAGTTAGGATGCATGACATAGAGTATCATCACAATATAAATTTTATTTAATTTCTTCTTGATTTCTTGTAATGATTTCACTTCCAATAACATTTTTAACTCTTCAACAACAGATTGAGCTTCACTCATGAAGGATATCATATCATGATTAGATTGTTTAAGGGAGTTAAGTCTAATTGTTAAGTTATACTATTGAATATCTTTTGTAAAATATTTTAAGTATTTTTCCAAAAGGAATTACAAGTTTTAAAAATAACTAAGAGTACCGAAAATTTGAGTTCTACATTAATGCACAAAGTTGAAAATCCATGGTTCAATTATTAGGAGGCACAGTATTTGCATTTTGTTCAAGGTGGTCATGGAGATTTGGGTCAAGGAACTACATTTCAACGAAAACAAAGATAAATAATTTTCTTCCATTCAATTTCTCAGAAGTGATGGTAAGAGTGTTGCTAGAAGAGTATTTGAGAAAGAGATAATAGATCCAAAAGACATGTGTTGCTGGAGTTTTTATGAGAGACCGTAAGGATAATGAAGAAATACAACAGTAATGAGCAACAAAGATAACGACGACGAACGGTGACGATGATCGACAATTCAAGGTGACAACTAAAACCACCAAAATGTGATTAATCAGTTGGATCAACTTAATATTAAAACAAGAAAAATATTTTTAAAAAGGTTAATAGTGTGAATTTCATTATATATATATATATATATATATATATATATATATATATTTAACCATTTATAAATTATATTTAAATTCAACCCAGTTAATACTTATAGAATAATTCTAATATTATTATTATTATTACTTTAGAAAATTTTGATTAATATATTATCCAAAAAAGACGGTCGTATGAGAGTGGTGTTACCTGGTCGTATACCTTAAGAAGGGTAAAGGAATGCAGGAAGAAAGTGGTTTCGCCGTAACTGCTCAATAAATCAAACCATAACTGTCATACAAATAAATTATAATGCTCTGTTTGGACAAAAATTAGGAATCTGTTTTTGAAAATTCGACCGCACTTCTCTGTATTTCATGGCCTAAAAAAAGATCATGTTAAATTTTAAAGAACTCAAGTATTTGCGGTTAAATAATTTTATAATAACATTTTTGTATACTTTAGAAATATATCTTTTATTAAACTAAAAATGTATAAACCATATGTTCAATGATAATTTTAAATTAATAATTAGACACTAAAGTTTAGTATAGGAAAAGAGTTGTTAAAACAGCTAATAGTTTATTGAACTTAATATTTAAGTCCAAAAATTTTAGATTTGCCAATTAGTCTAATTGGCTCTATTATACAAATTTTAAAATATTATATATTAACAACGATTAATATATTAATTATTAATGTTTATTGATAAAAAAATTTATTAAAAAAATTTACTTGTTATAGTTTGAAAATTGTATATAAATAATAATAATAAATTTATTATGTATTTGTTATATTAATTAAGAACAATATAAAAAGAAAAATTGCACAAAAGTGAAATTTGTAAAATTAGACTAAATAAAAAAAAATTGTGTATAGATACTCATGACAGAGTCTAAATTTGACTAAATGCTTTTTCAATTTCATGCTTTAAAATACAAGTTCATAAATCTACAAAAGAGAGGGTCAATCTCTCACATAATTGACATGTTCAAGGACTTGATTTCTGAAAAGTGATTTTCTTCTTCATGTATGGTTCAGCTGTGATTATAGTTCAATTTCATTTTATGCAGAAATGTACAAAGGAAACTATAAATGGTTCTTACAGTTGTTATGATTGTAGTTTGTTGTCATTTTCATATATTTAATTGTTGCATACATTTCATATGCCATATACCCTTTTATCATTTGAGTTTTTTTTTTTTTTTTTTTTTTTACAATTGAAGAGTGACAACTACGGCATTTTATTTTACACTGTGTTTATTGAAGAACAAGCCAGGTTGACTTTTCATGAAGAAAGAAAAATAAGCTTGACTTTGGGTTTTGGTTTTTCGTGTTGATTAGAATAACTAAATTCAATATTACTGTTTTGGATTTGAATGTTGTTCAGTATTCTTTGATAGGAGTGTTTGTATGCAAATGATATTTCTTTAATTGCATAGTATCAGTAGCAGAAGTTCCCTGCAACTGCTGCTGAAAGTTCAACCAGATTTTTGTTTTCTGAGGAGCCCTTTGAGGAGGTTGCGAAAGATTCCAAGAGGATTCTCAATTATCTATTTCGTATTTGCAGCACTAGGTTTGATAACTGGAGCAGGAGGGTTACTCTGATGACTTGTTGCTTTCATCTTTTCAGAAAGAAAGGATCTTCCTCAATCACACGATTGACCGAATTAGATATTGGTATATTTTAATATATCATGTAGTAGTCCATGGATGGGCATCTGTTTTGTGAAATTATTTATTCAATTGATTGTTCCAATACTTGGTCCTTGTTGGCGTTTCCATAAACAACAAAACCTAATAATCCATCTTTAGGGTCACACTCATGATTCTTCTTTATTAGTTGAATCTTTGTTTTTGAAAAAGGGTTTGGGTAGGTGAAACTGTTACCATAGTCGAGGATGTATATTCTTAGAAGCATGAGCCCAATTTTTTATATGCTATGTTTTCAAGAGCAGATATGTACAAAACATTGATATGATCAAAATGGTCCATGTTTTACTCAAGTTGCTTTGTACATTCTGCATTGCAACAGATGTTTCAGAAATTCAGAATGTCAAAATCTACACTTTCAGAGAATTGCGAAGTGCCACTGAATGTTTTAGTCCTGCAAACAAGATTGGGCAGGGAGGTTTTGGAGCAGTCTATAAGGTGATTGCAGCAATACGGTATCATCTAGATTTTGTCAGAGTTCTTACACCTACCGAGGCTCTGATTGGATAAATTCTCAATAAGATGTTGTAGGATACGAACCTAAGAATGTAAAATTAATTGAGTTTCTTCCTGGAGCTAACGAACTTATTCATTTAACTCTTATAATTATGGAGAAACTCAATGTATTTTACCTTCTTACTTTCTTTCTTTTATAAGTACTTATGTAGAATTTTATCATGAGCTTAAATCAAAAGATGTGTTATGCTTCTTTTTATACATTTCTATTTCAGTGACTGATAATTTTCTCCTTTGTACAGGGAAAGCTGAGAAATGGTTCTCTGGTAGCCATAAAGGTTTTATCAGCTGAATCAAGACAAGGGATCCGGGAGTTTTTGACAGAAATCAAGGTGATCTCTAGTATAGAGCACGAGAATCTAGTTAAGTTGCATGGATGTTGTGTGGAAGACAATCACAGGATTTTGGTATATGGCTATCTTGAGAATAACAGCCTAGCACAAACCCTTATTGGTAATTGAATTGTTGTCATGTTGTATGAGTAGGAAAATTTAAAAGAACTATTTATTAATGAATTAATCCTCGTGAGTTTACAGGTGCAGGCCACAGTAGCATCCAATTCAGTTGGCCTACAAGGAGGAACATTTGTGTAGGTGTTGCCCGGGGTCTTGCATTCCTTCATGAAGAGGTTCGGCCACACATTATCCATAGAGACATAAAAGCAAGCAATGTACTACTTGACAAAGACCTCCAGCCAAAAATTTCAGATTTTGGCCTTGCAAAGCTTATTCCACCAAACCTGACCCATATCAGTACACGTGTTGCTGGAACTGCGTAAGCTCACCATTTTGTCTACAATTGTTGCAGTGTTTTCAATTATATCATATTGAAAAATTTCAGATTTAGCAATTGTCAGACTTACTAGCAATATTTCCCCATTTTGTTCTCACCATTCTCCTGTTTTGGTATTGTAGTGGTTATCTAGCTCCTGAATATGCAATCCGAAATCAAGTGACTAGAAAATCAGATGTTTACAGCTTTGGAATTCTACTACTAGAAATTGTTTGTGGGAGGCCTAATACAAATAGACGTTTACCTGTCGAAGAACAGTATCTTCTCACAAGGGTAAGTAGTAAGGACCTTCCTTTATGAAAATATTGAAAAAGTAAAAGCAATTAAATGTAGTAGAGGATTTAACATGTATGTAGTGTGAAAGAAATATTTGATGAGATTGACATGCATAGATAGAATTTATTTTTGATGCTCTTCCAATGGCACTTCATTTTCTTCTTTCCTCTTTTAGTTTAACATGTGGTGAAGCAACCACATCCATTTCCCATCTTGACTTTCTCAAACTTAACGTGTTGAGTTCTAGTATTAATCTTTTAGAAATTTATAGTTAATTAAGGACAAATGAAAATAGGAGAAGCCATATTAGACCTTGTGTTCATCCCAAACAAAAATTCATTTTCTCTTTTCTTATGATAATCCTTTTGAACTCGTGTTAACTATTTCATACGCATTAAGAAAGAGGGTTAAAATTTTGACATTCAAATTGCAACTCAGAAGACAGGCTTATGGGTGAAACCTCTTCGTTTTGCCTGGATATAAGTTATATTTAGTCAAGTAACATGGTTGATTATGTGTCTATAGATTATAGTTTCAGTGTTAATTTTCACTGTTAGTAATAAAGCAAGCATACACGAATATGACTGTTTGCTAAGAAACTCATTATTACTATGCTTGCCATAAGACATTTTCAAAAGGTGCAATATAGCCATCATCACAGAATGAGCTCTTGTAATGTAAAATTTGTAGAACTAAGGCATACTTAACCTTGGATCAATTTCTTTGTGTCAGGGAATGAAATCGTATTTCCTCAAAGTTTGGAATCTTTATATTGTTTCAAATGTCTTGCATCAAACTGCATATAGATCCCATCTCATACATATCTTTGAATTTGAATTGAAAATGTGGGGTTAGTGAGTGGTAGTAATATAATATTAATGCTCATCACTGTTATGTGGATGAAAACTCAAAGGTCAATGTATCTTGCAGGCTTGGGATTTGTATGAGCGTGGGGAAACAGAAAAATTGGTGGATGCTTTTCTGGATGAAGACTTCAATATTGAGGAGGCAATCAGCTTTTGTAAGATTGGTCTCCTTTGCACGCAGGATTCTCCTCAACTCCGGCCCTCTATGTCAACTGTACTTGAAATGCTTTTAGGTGAAAAAGATGTGAATAAGGAGAATGTGACAAAACCAGGCATGATATTTGAATTTGTGGAAGCCAAAAATGCAGGGCAACAAAAAAGCAAGTCTGAAGAGAATAGTAAAACTTTGTTGTCCGAAGGCAAGCAAGATGAATCATCTTCTTCGGGAACCATGAGCTCTTTTCCTACCATGACCTTCACAGCAATATATGATCGAAGCAATTAATTTGACTGTCACTGGATAGCCTTCTATTCTGCCCTTAAATGATTCTTTTCTCTCCCTCTCATTCTGAAGCTGCCAATCTTTGTTGCCTTTCTTGGCTACAAACCTGAGTGTAAATGTTTGTCTAATATTTTCTCTATTACTACATTAATCAATGGTCATGAGTTCAATTTTGGAATCCTTCAGTCGGGAAAACTTTTTGTTAGAAATTGATGTTGGGTCTATCTAGGCCATATACCACTGTATTTTGAATCAGGGCAATGTTTATTTTTTAGCTTGGTTTTTGTGGCTCATATGCTGGTCTTTGTTTTAAGAATAATGTTTGCTCATACATCATACTTCCATGTAGTATGCAAATTGTAATCCTCTCAAGGTAGAGTTGATTTTTATTTTTTTCGGACTTTCTGTATTGCTAAACTTTCTCCCACATTATATTATTATACTCAGAATTGAGTTCAATATTTGATTCTGACATAATTTCAGTGTTCTATTGTCAACATTTGTTTAATACAGGAAGTATGAGAACAATAAATATAGCAGATATAGCAGAGTTGTCTTGTTTATTTCCATGTAAAAATGAACAGTGCGTATCAGTATTTATTCAATGGTAAAAAAAAAAAAAAAAAAAACATCTTAGCAAGAACTGTAAAACCCGGTGGTCTATTTTATTGTTCTATTACTGAACCTGGGTAGCAAAATTTAAAAATGTTAAATTTATTAATATAGTTTGACGTAATTAACAAATAGTTTTATCTCTTAAATGATGTGATTCGAAGTTTGATCTTTGATTCATATATGTGAAAAAAAAAATTCTTGGGATATTAATATTTCACGTAAGTTTCAACATTTTTAAAGTCTTTAGCTTTCGATTAAAAAAAAAAAAAATCTTTTGTACCTTCAAAATTGACCTATATTAAAATTGGTAATTCTAATTAAAAAAAATAGTGTTTTTGATATTTAGTATTTAATAAATATTAAAAATTGGTCATGACAATAATTTATTACTCTAACTAACATGTAATTATCCTAGTCAAGTATTTGTAGGTATGCCTAACACTATCAAAAGTAGTGTATCAACCTGTTGATTCAAAATAACTTCAAGCATATTAAATGTTGGGTATTAGAATAACTTAAATTTACTTGGAGATGCCAATTTTAGAAATATAAAAAAATATATATAACAAGTCCACCAAAAGAAAAATAGATGATCTCACTACCTAATCCAGAGATCATGCACATTGTAATCATACACAAAAGTTGAAGTTGGAGAAATGCAAAATTTATGTCTTCAAGAAAGAAACTTGTAAGCAACATGTCCTACCCAACCTAGGTATCTGTTCGTCACCATAAAATATACTGTTCTCAACAGGAAAACAATAAAATAAAACAACAAACAAAGAACAAAAGACACACAAAGATTGTGACTATACCTTCACATGAAAAGAAAACTACTGTCATCATCTTAAATATGATATTGAATGCTTGAAACCATAATTGAAAACAGGACAACAATTCAATCCAATGTCTGCAAAATGCACATCAAGATCACTGGGAACAAAGGATTTGCTTGAAACAAACCTGTTTCCTTTGCTCAGATAAAACAGTTGGTACTAGAAAATGGTTTTGGCAACATTAATCTCAATCCTACTCTTTGCTGCACTAACCTCTAAAATCATTCAACACTGGCTTATGAGAAAGTCTCTTTCTTCACACAAGAACAACGGGCTTCCTCCAGGCCCACCAAGGTGGCCCATTGTTGGTAACCTCCTCCAATTAGGTCATCTTCCACATAGAGACTTAGCATCTTTGTGTGATAAATATGGACCCTTAGTGTATCTAAAATTGGGCAACATTGATGCCATCACCACCAATGATCCTAATATTATACACGAAATTCTTCTTTCACAAGATGATGTTTTTGCCTCTCGGCCACAAACTCTTGCAGCAGTTCATTTAGCATATGGATGTGGTGATGTTGCATTGGCCCCTTTGGGGCCTCATTGGAAGCGCATGAGAAGAATTTGCATGGAACATTTGCTGACAACAAAGAGGCTTGAGTCCTTCTCCAAACACCGTTTAGAGGAAGCCCAACATCTTGTGAAGGATGTGTTGGGCCGAGCCCAAGATGAGAGGCCCATTAACTTGAGGGAGGTTTTGGGTGCTTTCTCAATGAACAATGTGACTAGAATGTTGTTGGGAAAACAATATTTCGGGTCTGAATCTTCAGGCCCAGAAGAGGCTATGGAGTTCATGCACATAACCCATGAGTTGTTTTGGTTGTTGGGTGTGATATATTTGGGTGACTATTTGCCATTGTGGAGGTGGGTGGATCCTTATGGGTGTGAAAAGAAAATGAGGGAGGTGGAAAAAAGAGTGGATGATTTCCATTCCAAGATTCTTGAAGAGCATAGAAAGGCAATGGAAGATAAGAAGGGGAGAAGAGAAGAGGGTGATGGAGATATGGATTTTGTGGATGTTTTACTATCTTTACCAGGTGAAGATGGAAAAGAGCACATGGATGATGTAGAAATCAAAGCCTTGATCCAGGTATTAGCATATATGTTTAAATTTTATTTATTTTTTTCAGATAAAATATATCATCACATATTTATAAAACCTGAAAAACACAGCATTACTTATGTAAGGGATTGTTCTTCTTTGTTAACATTATCTCTAAATGTTTAGGACATGATAGCAGCAGCAACAGACACTTCAGCAGTAACCAATGAATGGGCTATGGCAGAAGTAATCAAACAACCACACGTTCTTCGAAAAGTCCAACAAGAATTGGACACTGTAGTTGGCCCAGATAGAATGGTGTTAGAATCTGACTTGCCCCACCTTAATTACCTGCGCTGTGTCGTACGTGAAACCTTCCGCATGCACCCCGCGGGGCCGTTCCTTATCCCACACGAATCAATCCGAGAGACCACCATAAACGGCTACCGCATCCCGGCGAAGACACGTGTCTTCATCAACACGCACGGGTTGGGCCGCAACACCAAGATCTGGGACAACGTGGATGAGTTTAGGCCCGAGAGGCACTGGCCCAGTAATGGGGATAGGGTTGAGATTAGTCATGGGGTTGATTTCAAGATTTTGCCTTTCAGTGCTGGAAAACGCAAGTGTCCTGGTGCACCACTTGGGGTGAGTTTGGTTTTGATGGCTTTGGCTAGACTCTTTCATTGCTTTGAGTGGACACCACCGAAGGGTTTTGAACCCAAAGATATCGATACTAGAGAAGTTTATGGGATGACTATGCCCAAGGCTGAGCCCTTGCTTGCTGTTGCTATGCCAAGATTGCCCAAGCATTTGTATGGCTCATTTTAAGATATTTGGGATTTTATTTTATTTTATTGAGACTTGTAATTTTATTTTCTATATTTTATGTAATTTTGATTCCTTCATTGATTTTATTCCACATCCTAAGTCTTTCATTAATTACACAACAATGGCGATGGCGACGGCGACAGGTCACTGTTGTCATTGTGAGTAGTCAATTGAATCAAAATATAAGTCTAAAATTAAAAATTAAACAAAAAAAATCAAAATCAAAATCGCATATGAGGAGTTAGAGGAGGACCAAAATAACAATTACATGACATTAGAGGGAGAAAGAGAGATGAAGATTACTTTACATCATGATAATAGAGAAAAAGAAATAAGAGTTGATGAACAGGGAATCAAAGCCAAGTGTAAAACCAGTTTCCTATTCTACAACCAACAAACTACCAGCATTGGTTAACTTGTTCTACAAATACCTACCTCAAGCTATAGTTTCAATAGAGAAAATATAATACATATATAGTAAATGAAGTAGCATGAAAAAAGAGAATTGAAGAAGATTCCTACTAGTGTAGTTTGCCTTTTTTGTCTCTAGCAGCTTGGATCTGATCTGCAAGCGATACTTCTTTCTGAATTTTTTCTCTCTTGATAAGCTCTAAATCCAATTTATTCTGGGCTGGAAAAATGCAATTAAAAGTGTCTCCTTCTCTGTCTTTGTCACCGTTGATGTTCTTACTTATGTGAATCTAAAATACAAGATAAACATACCATCATTAGAAGCAAAGAGACACAACTAAAAATAGGTTAAATTAAAAGCTTGGTTCCTACACCTGACATCATTTTTCATTTGTCCCTATATATGAGAAAACCTCCACATTTTAGTTCCTATATTTTACATCATATCTTGTTTTAGTCCCGATGTGAAAACAATTTACAGAAAAATCATGGAGGGACTAAAATGAAAAATGTCAGATACAAGTGTTAAATATGTTATTTAACCAAAAAAGACAACAAAGGGGTTTGGCTTATAATATTGGAACTAAAGTATTAGAAATCTCACATCAATTAGCCGGAGATCCTCCCTCGACTAGATATATAACCAAATTACCGAATAATGCAAACTTCCGTTTCAGTCAGTTTTGTAAATTTGAGTTAAACTTAAAATCAGTTTTATAACAAAAATAGGAATTAAGGTCACTAAAGGAGCTACTCAGCATAAATTCGTTTAGAACTAAATTACACATCATTCTAAAGGACATTTAGTACTTTCTGAATGGCTTGTTCCTTACTTAATTCAGCTTCTCTCTCCCTGGTCTAAAAACCTATTATAGGATGTGTTTTAAGTTTCTACCGAAAAATATAGTCAAAAGTGTTTTTAATTGACAAAGCAATCATTAGTTACCGGATTTAGCAACTAAATATCTTATTTCTATATTCCAACAGAAGTAACTTACACCGCATTCTCCTCTATCTTTCAAATGAATAAGGATTGTGTAGTTTAACCAATGTGTTGCATTTATAAACAGTCAATAAAAGAGGAAAATAAAAACATACCTTAGTATTTCTTCGGCGATGACTCGTTATATTCCCTTTCAATTTAGTCCTCTCTTCTTGATCTTTTCTCTTCTGAGTAAGGATTACCCTTTTAATTGCTTTTATCCGTGCTGCTTTCTCTGCTTTTACCCTTGCCAACTCTTTTTCCTTTGCCTTTTCTACACTACGCTGAAGTTGACGCATGTGAATCATTTCTTCTCGTATCTTTTCATAGCTATCCCAGTCAAGCTCTTGTTCCCCACTTCCTCCTTCCTTAGCTGCTTTGGCTATGTTTTCCCTCCATGTCAGGATGATATTCTTTGTTCCAGTAACTGCCATCAGCTTTTTTCTTCGCTTTTCCTTGGCCAGCATAAGTTGATGGAGCTCCAACTGTCGTTTTATCTTATTGTAGCTATCCCAATCTAGCTCTTCCTGACCAATCCCTCCTTTCTTGGCTGCATTTGCTATGCTTTGTGTCCATGAAAGCAAAATATCCTTCCTTAACCGTTTTGACTTCAGCCGCTCATGCCAAACACGTCTCAGTGAACTGCTTATCTTTGCCTTGGTTTGATCACTGCATGAAGGTTGATACTTGATGAATATTAGAAAATGTATGGTCAATGGCTACTCATTTCACGCTTTAGACATTTGTGTTGAACGGTATCTACCAATGAGTGCAAATTTATTTGAGAGTGTGTACCACAAAGATATATTTTTTTATAGTAGCTTTCAGGTGCATTGAGACTAACAGTATGATGATCAAAATGTCACCAAACAGTGCAGGAATTCTCAGATATGACATGTATGACAGAACTAGCAACATGTACGACAGCAATGAGAGTAAAAAATGTAGAATGACCTCAATTGTTACACATATGAATCAATATATTATTTGACAAGCAGCAATAACTAAGAAATCTAAACGTCATATATCTTAAAGCAGACATATTATAATCTAAGAAAAGAAGAAAACTTTTGTTTCTCTAAGCCAAGTAACATACAATTCTATGCCGTTTTTACAACCTTACTGCCTAAACTATCCTGTCATTGTTGTGCACGATAGGAACATCTATATGATAAGTAATGTAGAGTCTAAATCCCAAGTCTTCAATCTCATAACTTCTTGTCACCATACTTCACTCTTCTTTGGTTAAAATTTGTAGATTATGGACAACCGAGGTCTAAGACCAGACATTCTATCCTTTTTACTCATCCACCATATTTATTTTTTTCCATTGAAAAACTATAATTTTCCATGGTGTAAGATAGCCTTCTGATTTGAGTAAGCATACAGAAAAACAGTATGACAGACATGTTTACCTATGAGAATGGGGATGTTCGGCCATCTTCTTCCTTACCTGAAATTTTGTCAAGGTGAGAAAGGAAAAATGTAAATATAAGTTACATGGTAATTGAACTACCTAGCAGCAGAAAAACTATTTTGTAAGGTAGCTAGCATTTGAATAATTATATAAAGAAATGAAGGAACCTAAAACAAAAATATAACAACTGATATCATTGCAACAATAAACTAGTCATGTTGAATACACGTGTAAAACGAGGAAATACTCCAAAAACTGAATGACTCTTACTTGACTTCACCTTAGGATCCCTCAAAGCCTCTATAGTTCTTTGCCTGATTCGCTCCCGGGTCTCTGCATTGTAATCGGATCACAATCACTTACAAAAAAACTAACCAAAAACAAAGTACACACAAGGTTTTAAAAAACTATCTGCAACTGCGATTTTGGCCACAACATCAAAGATTTTAGGGTCCATGACTGCAATCATAGCCACATCGACTGCATTTGTGCACAATTTCCCACAACATCAAGAATCACAACAAAAAAACATGACCACAATTTAAACCTGGGATACACACATCAATGTCAACTGAAATGTAAACTACCTGCACTGTGTTTCCTTCCTTTGTTCCAAGGCACTTTCCCTTTGTTTGCCAGCCCTATTCTCATTCTTCTAATCCTCTCCTTGAGCACCTCCTCACTGAGGGAATCACCAAAGCCAACCACCCCATCCCCATTGTTCAAATAATCAGAGTAATCAAGACCAACATCTGAGGAATCAGCATCATCACCATCACTGAGTTGAAGCTCCTCAATGGGTAGAACCCTTTGGGAGGAACAAACAAAGGTTAACTTGGGGGGTGCAGCCTTGGCCAGAGGAAGCACTTGCAGTGTTGCTGGAGGGTAAAATGTACAAGTGCAATCCGCCATGGCGGGTAAGAGAAGGCGTGAATCAGTGCTGGAAATGTGGAATGAGACGGACATGGTTCTCACACTGACCCAAGAAAATAAAGTTCAAAACTTCATTAGAATAAGTCACAAAGTTGTTTACTTTTTCATAAATAAACGATCCAACACTTACACAACCACTGGAGTGTGTTAAATCCAAGTGAGACAGACAGACAGAGAGAGAGATTACAGTGAGTAGGAGTGGAGCACGTAGGTTGAAGCAGTGGAAGATGAGTGAACGATAGGGGCCAGACCAACACCAGCTCTAATCCTATCCCATCTAACCAATCAATTTTTTCAATGGGTTCTGCCTACGAAGTTTCCCTTTTATTTTTTATTTTTATTTTATTGAAGGGGATTCATGTTTTATGAATTTTTGTAGTGAAACAGTCAATTTAGACAATTTTATATTACTTCTTAAAATCTTATATTTAGTTAATTATACACTTAATAAAAATATTTTTAATTAAATAAATTTATATTAAAACCATTATTTATATGACCAAAAAATATGTTTAACTACAGTATTATTAAGTAAGTGGCGATGATGAAAACGGATCTGATCTCTTTAGGCTTTCATGAAATTGCCAAAAACCATTAACAAAAGTTTTATTTATGTTAAAATTCTTATAAGAAAAAAAGAAGAGAATCAATCTTCCCTATCAATAACATATTTTTAAAAAAATATATACTCAAATAAAATCTTTATTAATTTATTTATTCATATGTTTATTATTTTTTTAAAACTTTTTTTTATTTTTTATTTTTTATTTCTCAATGTCGATATATTATTTTTCTTTTTATTCTTTCATTCATTCTGCTAATTAAATTATTATATTAAAATTTCATAAAAATATATTAAAATAAATATTTTAAAATTAACCATAAAATTAGGAAATATTAACTAATTATTTAAAATTATAATTATACTAAATACATTTATTTATTTTGACAATAAATAAATTTATTTACTATAAGATAAATTATTAATTTTAAATTATTTTATCATAATAATAATTATCCATTTAATTAAAAAATATTAAATATTTATGATTTAAATGTATTTTTTATTGATAATTTAATATAATTATTTTATATTAAGTTATGATAATTAGTTAAATTATATAATTTTTTCAAATTATTTATTAAAAATTTATTTCAAAATAAATATTTTTTTAATAATTTTAATATATAAATAATATACATAATATCTCAAATTTACTATATAATATTTTTTTAAAAAAACAATAAACGAACAAAAGAGAAAAAAATAAACATTAAAAGATAGAGAAAAAATATAACAAGAAATGAATGAAAGAAACAAAATTATAATTATGTTAAAAAAAATATTTTCACCTTAAATTTTATATGGTAAACTATCTAATTTGGTAAGTAAATTCAGAGAGATTTTATTTAGATTTATTTACCAAACTATAACGGTTTACTATTAATATCCAAAATTCAATAGAGAAAAATAATTTTATCTGACATGATACAAATGTTTTTCTTTCTTCTTTTGATTATTTTCTTATTTTTCTCTTTTCTATTATTCTCTCACTCCATTTTATCCCTTAATTAAAGATAGTAGATAAAAATTTGATAACACAACCCTTTTATTATTATTAAAAAATAAAAATATTTAAATAATCTAAAAATATTATAATTTAGTATATTATATTTTTAAAAATATTATATAATAAATTTAAGATGTTACAAATATTATTATTATGTTATAATTATTAAGAACAAAATATTTTAAGGTACTTTTTTAATTAATATTTATTTTTAAATTATCGAATCTAATTAATTATCATAACTTAAAATTATTATAATTAGATATAAATATTAAATAAAAATACATTTAATTTATAAATATTTAACTTTTTTAATTAGATAAGCAATTATTTATTATAATAAAATAATTTTAAATTAATTATTTACATCATTATAAATAAATTTATTTATTGTGAAAATAATAAAATTATTTATTATGATTCTAATTTTAAATAATTAGTTAGTATTTATTAGTTTTAATTTTTTTTAATTTAATATAATTTTTATTAAATTTTAATATAATAGTTCCATTAAAAAAATAAATGACTGTAGAAAAAAAATTATGAAAAGAGAAGAAAAGTTGAACAATAAACATGAGTAAATATATTTTATTTAAGTAATTTTTTAAAAAATATATTATTTATAGAATCTAATCTATATTATTTATGGAATTATTCAAATAGAGAAGATTAAATCATTTATCTAATTTAATGACAAATATTTAAATTATATACTTAATTATATTTAATAATTATTTTTATATCACCAAATTAGGGAGAAATAAATATCAACAAATTCTTTTATATATATATATATATATATATATATATATATTTTATATATTTTATTAAGTTGTAATATAATTTGTTTAAGACATCGAATTAAACTTATTGTCGAATTGAACATGTCCTCCTACATGAATGAGTCTCAGAGAGCTAAACATTGACTTTCATTTTTTTTCTTTTTTAAGTTTAATGAGTTAAATTAGATATTTAATCTATGATAAAAAAAAGGTTTTCTGTAGTCTTTTTTATTTTAGTTTTTACAAATTTATTAAATTTTTAAAAATAGCTTCTATTTTTAGTCTTATCGAGAAAGTTAATGGGAATATATTATTAAACTGATATTATGATCACATACATCATCACATAGGTCACGTCGGTTAAAAAAATAAAATCAGACAAATGTCACATTTGATCTTATTATTGACTAAAGAAATAATATATTTACAAAAGTCAAATTTTTTTTTTTTTTACGTAAAGAAAAAATCGATACGAGGATCGAAAGAACAAGAAAGAGAAAATCGAAGATCATATGATTGGTTAAAAAATTGATAAAGTGAAAAGAGAAAATCGAAGATCATATGATTGGTTAAAAAATTGATAAAGTGAAAAGACAGTTAGAAGACACCCGGTAATTACAAGATAGAAACACATATAGATCGAGAATCAGAATCGAGAATCGAAGGAAGAATATTTGATGTCTATTATTGAAGAAAATCGAGAAATTAAAATCAAGTGTAATGTTAAGGTTAAGGGGAGCAATTCAAAGTTCTCGAAGATTTGAAATCGAGATCAAGGGAAATGTTAACCTATATGCCTATCGAAATTATGGCTAAGTTATAAATTGAGGAACGGTTAAATGTCCGCGTATGGAACGTGGAAGCAGTTTTCTAAACCGTAGAACTAAGGGACGTGCACGTTGGATCGTGGTGGCAGTTTTGTTAACTGCTCTTAGGAAGTTACCTGAAGGGTGCTCTATAAATAGAGCGAAGATTGAAGGAAGAGGGGAAATTGGCAGAAGCAACAGAAGCGCAAGTGAACAGTCTACAAGAAAACGATGCATCATGAAGTTTCTAATGCTCTGGATTTCTGTTTTCATTGATTATCTTTATCGCTTTCTTTACTTTCCCTGGTAATTTACTTTCATGCAATTTATGTTTATCAATTCCCTATCATTTACATTTCTGCAATTTCGATTTCCTGCTATTTACATTTCCACAATTTCGATTCCTTGCCATTTACACTTAATGCAAATTTGAGGTTTTCCGCATTTTACAGTTATCTGCAATTTAATATTCTGCACTGCTTTTCGATTCGACACTTTTACTGCTTTCTTTACTTCACGTTTCTTAATAAAAAATACCACAAATAGTACGTTCGATTGTCAATCTGTATGATATGTTGCGTTGTTAACATTTCTCAATACTATGGTATCTTCGATTGTCATACATGTTTCGATTGAAAAACTAGTTGCTAGCCTAAGTTAAAAGAACCTGTGTGGTTAAAATTTGGTTAGAACTTAAGTCTCCGAGAAATCGAAATCAATCAAATTTTCACCAGAAACAAATTGGCGTGCCAGGTAGGGGGGTTGTGTCGAAAAACACAAACAATTGGTTAGTTCGAAAATGTATGAGATTAAAGAGTGAGCGAGTATTAAGAATGAGTCAAAATCCACCACATAATTAGAATAACAATGAGATTCCAAATAGTTCACATTTACCAAACACTAGGGGGCAAGTTCACAATGGGAATATGGTCGTAATATCGACAACTGTGAGTACGTCGATACCTGTGAGTGCTGAACAAAGCTCTGGCACATCGGTAAACACTCAGTTAGGGTCTAGCACTGTAATGTCAAACAATATACAAACTACAAAGAATCCTATAACAACATATGCAGGTCCGCATATGAGTGTGAGACCGCCTGACTTTTTAATTAATAATATGAATGAGGCTGGTACTTCTTCAATACAACGAAGTACAAGATTTAACCTAGGAATGCCCCAAAGCTTAGGAACATTTCAAACCTTAGGCATGCCTCTAAAATTTTGGAGTGTCCCCAAATTTAGGGGTGTCTCAAAATTTAGTAACATCCCAGAATTCAGGGAATGTGCAGAATTTAGGAACACAACAGACGCCTCCAATGTCAAACCTGGATCACGGGAGATATACATTCGATAGAGATTATCATCGATCCAATTTTTAGACTATCGAAAACGCTAGTACTGGAATTTCCAGTAATTCATTAGGAGTACTTCGACAACAAATGGATGAAAGCAATTTCGAGATGGTTAACATGTTATCACAACAGTTGACTATAACATTAAACCCATTAGTTCAAAATACTACCACTAGTTTTGAGATATTAGCAGACCAGATGTCACGTATCGGGGATGCATTGGTGATACCTCGACAAACAAGGGTCGAAAATAATGTCAATCAGAATATTAACCAAAACGCTAATATCAATCCCCTTTATTTATTAAGGAGAAATCGAAACAATGATCAATATCAGCATGTGAGGAATGATACTTATGGAAATTTAAATGAGGGATGTCAGAATATGTATAATCAAAATAACATGCAGTACAATCACATGATAGGACAAAGGATGAATCCTCAAGGAGTGGAATTAAGACCACCTCATCAACCATACTTCATTTCTCCTTTTCCAAATACGATTCTCGAGACAGAATTACC